GCTTGGTGCTAAACTGTGCAACTTAAAACCAGTTATAACCTTGAGCAAAATTATTTAATCGCAGGATTTAGCAGATTACAGGTTGAGAACACTATATAAACATCAGGCTGGGTTTTCAGGCTAAGCAGTTGGAGGCAAGGCAGAGAGATGGCATTGCCTTTCTATTATCTTTCCACCTATCGCCCATGTTGTTAATGGCAGCAAATAATAGCCACAGGGGTTGCTATAATTTCCTCCACCTGGCAACAGTGTCACAGGCTGTTCCTCTGTCAGCAATTGCCAGAGGGAAGTGTTCTCTAGAAAAACCTCCACCTACTTTGAGATGTCTTCTTGCGCACCTCCATACTACATTTACTGGGAAGCAGTGTGAGTAGTCAGCTGCATGTTCAAGACAGCCTTAAAACTTGTTTCTGGAATTGGCAATTTGTCTGCACAGGGGGTCCTTTACAGAACACCCCTTACCTGGATATTAAATAGCAAGTGGAAAGGCCCAATTCACTCTAAATTGTCTGCACCTGCCCCCAAAGAACTTAATTCACATATATGTTTGTGCTTTTTTCATTTTTTTTCCTCCTATAATAGAATATATTTTAGAAAGAGGAGTTTGCGAACTCATTCTTATTTGCAGGAAGTTTATTAATATTTTTGGTATTTTTGTTCAGAGAGTTTTTCACTTTTCAAATGAGATTGGTGGGGGCTGTTCTTGTGACTCAAAGTGCAAGGCTCCTGAATCCTTTGCTTGTGGGGAAACTGGGGCAGAGTGTGAGACCTTCTCTGCTGTCAGCATGCAGACTTTTGACAGAAATAAAAGCTCTGATCCTAAGTCCGTTCCTGTTTTCATTAGGTCATTCTGTATCTTTCACTCTTCTATTTTCTATGATGGACAAAATCCCAGATTTTATCATCACTGGTAGCCTGTTGTTTAAGACTAGGGCAGTGAGTAACTTTTTCTGCTCTTTGCTCTTCATCATCAGTGAAGTCCTGGTACTATTGTTAAATGTTATAATCACCCAGGGGGACTACTTGGCTATTTACTCAGATTAATATCCTGATTTTTCAGTCAACTGATTGCTTTCTATCCTATTTTCTCTTTTGGATTCTATGCTGACTTTTTGCTGATTTCTGCTGTCACCTTAATTTATTTCATATATTGCTTATGAAATTAACTTAATCTAGCAGCAGCCTTGTAGTTGACAAACTGTATTTTTTTTATTTCTTAAAACACTCAGTTTCCTCATGGCTAAATCCAACCAACACCTTTGCCTTTCTCCCCCTCATCAAACATTGAATTGCAGAGATTTTCATGATGGCCACCCCATTGGAAGGTCTAATAGATAAATTACCCTGGGAAAAATATTAGGGGTTACATCACCCAAATCTTCAAGAACCTGCGTCCACCAGCTCCTCAGTTGTCAGACACTTGATCTCAAGGTGAGTCAGTATCAGTTTTTCTCTTTTCTCCAGAGGGATTTACAACTAAAATACTTTGAAGAGTGTCCTAAAATTCAGGCTGGCTTGGTAAAATTCCTAAAATTCAGGCTGCCAAGCAAAGAGCTTCCAGCAAACTGTCATGACAGAAACACCAAACTTCCAGGAATAATTCTATCTTTGTCTGACAGCAGAAGACAAGGGCAATTGCTCAACTTCAGATGGATGATGTACTTAGGATTTTATTGTAGACCTGCAAAGCAGATGTTATTGTGTTTTAGCATTCAGTACATTTTTTCCTCAGCTGCTATCAGAAAAAGTCCAAGTGCCTTATACCAGTCTGCGCTTTTTAGTGCTCATCACAGCGATACACAGATTTGGTCTAGCTAATGCTGAGAAAGAGCCCTGTGGGATGGCACTGCTCACATCGCCACAAGACAGGTAAAATTTCCAGCCCAACCATACAGAGAGAATTTATGTCAGATCAAATTAGAATGGGATCTTTCTGCGGTGTCAACCACACATGCAAACTGCAGAATCCAGGGATGGGGCTTTTTGGGCATACTCCTACTGCAGGGCCTACCTTGTAGCTGGTGGCTGCATGGGCACCTTTGGAGACTGTGATATTCTGTGGCTTTTGCAAGGAAGATAAAGGAAAGGCTAATTGTGTTCTCCTGTATGCTGTGCACTGGTAAACGGCTTGAGGCAGTCTGACCCTAAATATTGATGATTCAGGTTAACATTGTCTCCAGATGACAAGAAGTATTCATTTTTTTTCCCTATTTATCCCCAATACACAAATATTTTTGCAAAACTAGATTATCTCCTAAAATAAAGAAGCTCTAATTAATTCTACCATTTTATCTGCAACAGGCACTGTTAACATCTCATATCATGCTCCAATAAATTTGCCCACAGAGATTAACAACATCTGAGGGGAGAAAGAAAAGGAAAAATGGAGGGAAAGAAAGCCTTTTTAATTGAAGACCAGGAAGTATTATTCTAATTAGCCCAGGTACAGAATGGCATTAGCATGGCTATACTGCTTCTGGAAGCAAATTAGTGTCTGCGT